CCTCGGAGAACAGAGTACAGATAACCTAATGTGTAGCTTTTCTCTTAATAATAAACAAACAATATATATATATATATACATACACACATAAAATACCTTCACAGTATTTTTGTACATTTAAAGTTATTATTTTATTATGTAAGCTCCAGTAACTTGTAACAAGACAGTCGTTTGGAAGTCATGGTTTATAAGTAGATTACATTAGCCCATAGTAAAGGTTTCTTTTTTTTTTCGAGAAAGCATTTTTGAAACAGCACAATAATAATAATAATACAAACTTACCGGCTTCTCCCGAAGAAACAGAGCATGAGCTGGAACGTCTTTGGAACATCCTGCACTGTGTGTTCTTCTCAGTAGTCGAGAAATCCTCTCCGTTCCCTTTGATATGGAAGCTGTCATTGATGTACCTCCTGGATGTTTATAATTATCTGTCGAACCCTTTCGTACTTTTGCCCGAACGCCACATATCCAATCATTAGGAGTATCAGATCCAGATTCCTGACTGTCAAATTCTGCGAGTTGGTCTGAGCTTAAACTACCTCTTCTCTCCACTTCTTCGTTTTTACGCTGATAACTGGCAGTTGGTCTCTCGGTAGGCTCTGGTGTGTAGTAATCAGTGTTTATATTACATTTCTGTCCGAACTCAAAAGCTAGCCCAGCGCTTCCATAAGACGGAGTATTTCCGGTGCTGCTTGAAGCCCACGAAGGGCTACTTTCTTCCCATGCACTGTCTACAATCTCCATGATACTGTTTCCCCCACTTTTTTGTATTAGTCTTTCGGGTTTTTGTCGCATAGGTCCGCACGGCTCTCTGGAAAAAATGCCTAAAGGTGACTGTTCGTCATTAAACTCACGCTGACAACGGTCCATTGTGACATTCTCCAATTATGAACGGAATCCCTTGAGTTTTCTAAGAACTCGCTCTGGAACAAAAAATGCATGTTGCAAAATAAAATGGCTAAGGTTACGCCTTCTGTATAGAATTTTCTAAATTATTAAAAAATTATACAGATGGTTCCGCTAATCTGTGTACAATTTGTTGAGAAAAAGAATCAGAGATTTTGCGAAATCGAACATATAGACAACTATGAAATTAATACATTTTATAGAAACATACATTATTGTGCAAAAGTGTTAGGAGAAGAGAATATTTTGTTATTCTTTCCATTTTATGAGGCTAATTCTTCCATACAATTACAGAATGTAAATTACAACACTATGGTAATGCTTCACTGATACCTGTTGACAACTGAATGAGCCAGGGTGAGAATGCTTATCATTATTTATAATTCCCATATACTTGTACCAAGAGTATGTCATAAGGGTTCTACTTGAATGAACATATTGATCAAATTCAGGGGCTAAAACAACTGGTGCCCCTTGCAGTGTCTTAACTATATAGTAGGAGCTATCATATGGTACTGGTATATGCTAGAATAAATCAATTTAATAGCACTCCACAAATAAAACTTGATAAAAACAGTATTTAACACTATATATTAAGTTTTGTTGTCATGCCACGGCCCAAAAAGCGTAGAGAATTGTCAGTATAACAGAGAGTTCGTATAAAAGCTTTACGTGATGATTGTTGGACTCTCCGACAAATTGCTGCAGACTTGAAATGATCCTCAAACACTGTCAAGTACGCCTTATATAGTGAGACCGAGACAGGTAAATTTGAAAATAGGAAAGGAAGAGGCAGAACACCTAAACACAATGATACTGATGTTAAGTATCTTCGTTTATGCAGTCTTCGGGACAGAAGGAAGACTGCCACTGATCTCAAGCATGAGATAAACGAACATGTAACAAATGACAGAAAAGTGTACAGATCTACAGTATCAAGAAGACTCAACAAGAATGTAATATTTGGTCATGTAGTAGTTAAAAAAAAACCTTTACTTCGATCTCCAAATATTGTCAAGAGACTGAAATATGCTAAAAAGTACAAAAACGGGACTGTTGATGATTGGAAAAGGGTGTTATGGGTGGATGAGTCCTAGTTTGAAATATTTGGTTCAAAGCGTAGGTTGTACGTCCGGCGGAAGAGAGGTGAAAGCACTTACCATGAAGCATGGGGGAGGCAGTGTGATGGTTTGGTCGTGTTTTTCTGCTGAGGCGACATGAGACATTTGCAAAGTAGATGGAATAATGGACCAGCACAAGTACCATCACATACTGATCCGTCATGGTAAATGATTCTACTACTAAGAAGATAATGACCCCAAATATTCATCCAACCAATGCAGAAGTTACTTAGGTAAGAAAGAAGCTGCTGGAGTTACTGAAATGATGCAATGGCCCCCACAGAGCCCCGATCTCAACCCAATTGAGCAGACCCGGGATTGGATAGATCAAAAACTTGACAAATCAAAAGTTACTTTCAAAGAAACTTTATGGGAGTGTATTAGAGACATTTGGAGTAAAATCCCAAAGGACATTTTGATTTAAAATGTTGCAACAATGCCTGATAAACTGTCTGCAGTTATTAAAGCAAAAGGGTGACACAAAATATTAACTGTTTGCTGAACTCAAGCACTTCCACTGAGTTTGTGTTATACTAAATATGAATATTAGTAAAATTTTAATGTTCCAAATGTGATTTACCTTCCTCTTTGAAAGTAGCCTGAAAACTAATTTTTGACTTTGTCCTAACACAGTACTGTAATAAGAAATATATATCATTAATCAAGAGATATAAAAATGTTAGGTGTGCTGAGAAAAGTGGCATAGTATGAATAAAGTGGAACCCTCTAGAAAAAACATTTATTTTATAAAAAATAACTCTACATTAACCTTTATAGTTCGATTTTTTTTAAGTAGAAAAATATCACACTTTCAATCTGAAAGGAATTTTATGCGCGTGCGACCTAAATGACCAAGTCACAAATCCCTGGATTCAAATATAGTCGTTCTTAATTTTGAGTAATTAACCAGCGGTAAGGAAGCCAACAACTACTACTCGATGGAAAAATGGCTTAGTTGGGCATATTGAACTGAATAGCGAGATTGACTGTCACTTCCTTAAAGCGCTGTCTTCATTATAGCAATCTAACATGAAATTTTAGTACAGTAACTCTTGACCTTTACCTCCTAGATACAAGGAAATTAACGTCAGAGAGAAAATCAAATGAAATATTATTTTTCGAATGTTTATATTTTGTCTGGAGAAAGCTTGTTTTATAATAAGCAGTTAAATAATAATTTATATCAATAAGATGAAACAGTTGGAAAGTGTTTCTCTTACAAAAAGAACTGGACAAAAACCTTTATCTTTGAAATAAAACAAATAATACTACAGGATGTAAAACTCACAAAGAAAAGAGAAAGTTGTGCTGCCATCTAGCGAATGTTGAGCAAAGCGACAGAGTTGGGCCCTCTACTTAGACGAGACGATGGATTCTCAAGCTTTCACTGAACCTTATCAGAGTACTAACAAAATATTTTTATGCATTTGTAAAAGCATAATTACATTGGAAATGACAAATACTCTTGTAACTTTTCTGCTTGTTAACTGAGTATATAGAAAGTTTGATTAATGAATTATCAGATAATTATATTTTATTTTATGGGCCAGGTGTTAGCTAGTGGTTAGTGTGTTATGTTCGACATGTCACTGAACACACTCCGTACTTTAAAGTATGGAGGCTAGATAAGAGTAGCTGTCAAGTTCACTATTCGATGAAGAGTAGCCTTCTAGTTGGCGGGTGCTAATGAACGGTTACCGTCCCATTTGGTGAGCAGTTACAAATTAGAAATGACTATGCCTGAACCTTGGGGGCTCTGATCTGGCTTTAGCCTAGATTGAAAATTGGAAATGCTAGATTCTCCTATAAGAATATTCTGAAAGATAAGATACCGCTAAAAACCGAGTTTTGATACCCGTGGTAGGCTCAGCACCGATAGCTCATTGTGTAGCTTTGTGCTTAATTACCAACAAACAAACAAACCGAAAAAAAAGTTTAAAAACATCAATGTCGCTGGAGGTTTTCACCCACCCTCTCGTCATACATGCAATGAGATATAATTCAAAAATAAGCATAATAAGTGAAGTGTCTGGATTCCTGGAAAGTACATAATCTCTTTACAAGTTTCTTAATAAAAAAAGGTAAAACTACGGCTTATGTGGGTATATATGTGAGAATATATATATATT